TGAACCTCTCTAGGCCGGGTGTAGCCAAGGCCTGTGTTGAAATGAATCTCCTAGTCAACAATCCTAAGAGATTCTGGTTAGATATGGGGGGTGTTAGTGGCAGATGACAGAAGATAGTGTATGAGAAAGAATACATGCATTGTCCTGCTTGTCTAAAGCAGGGGCATGATGAAGTGCTGTGTAGAAGGAAGAAGAAAGTGGAAGTTGATATTTCTGAGAAGAAGCAGGAGGATGGGAATAATCTCCCTCAGAATGAGGAATGGAAGAAGAGAAAGGGAAAAGTTGTTGCTATAGAAGGACATAAAGTACAGTCTAGAAAGGAATATAGACAGAAATCTATGCCTCAAACTACTGTTGTGGGAAATAGTTTTTCTGTGTTCAATGAGGAGATTGTTGTAGAAGAGCTGGAGATTGGGAAGGAAATGGCTCAGAATGGTCAGGAAAAATTACATGACAAGGTTGCTAATAATGAGGGATCTCCCTCTATTAAAGAAATGGGTACTGGATTTGTTGAAGTACATGGGGATGCTGTTAGAATTGATACTGTAATTCTTGATAATCCTCAGGCAAATTCTGAATGTGGTATTCAAGGAGAGGTAAATGCTGACATAACTGATACCAGACTGGAGGGAATTCAACAAGAGAACAGTCCAATACTACGTAATGGTTCAAGATGTAGGAATCAAATTCCTATGATTACATCTTCAGAGGGTGCTAATTTGGAGGTAAATTCCTTTTCCTCCCCTACTTTATTACCTCCTGTGAATAATGAGGAGGTTAATGTTGAAATTATTGGAGGAATTCTAATATCTGATGTGGAAAATATAGTTTCTACTTTTGATGGTATTAACAATGACAATATGTTGGTTAAGGATAATATGGAGGTATTGGGAGAATGTAGAAACCTTTATGCTCCATCAATGGGGTCTTCCTTTCTAGTGGAACATGGTTTTGCTGTTAGGCAAGGAAGCCAAAATTCTTTAGATGACCAGTCTGGTTTGGTTAGGATGAGAGAACCTCTAGGTAAGGGTTATTACTCTGATTAGGCTAGTTCTAGAGCTCAAAGAATTGTAAATGTTGAATCTGATAACTCTGGGAGTTCTTTTGATGAAGAGGATGATGGTAATGGACTTAGTTCTAGTGAAGTTCCATCTCCTATGAATTAATGATTAATCTTCTATCATGGAATGAGAGGGGCAGGTAAGGATGCCAAGAGGAGGAGATTAAAAAAGCTTATTAAATTGCATGATGTTTGTCTTGTTGCAGTTCAGGAGCCTAAATTGTTGATTTCTAAATTGGTTCCTTTTGCTAGGAGTATTGGACTAGAACACTTCTGTTCTAATGCTCTTGCAGAAAGGAAAATTTGGATTTTATGGGATGAGAGAATCAAGTTAAGAATTTTATTTGAGCATGACCAAGTATTGACTGTGGAAATAACTTTTTTGAATTCAATTATCTTTTGGATCTCAATTGTATATGCTAGTTGTGATATTTTTACAAGAAGGCTTTTATGGGATCATCTGTTGGAAATTAATGTTCCTTCTGATGTTCCTTGGATGGTGGTTGGAGATTTCAATTCAATTCTATCTTCTGATGAAAGATTGGGGGGAGCCCCTCCTTCCATTTTGTCTATAGAGGATTTTGGTGACTTTTTGAATCACAGGGGTCTGTTGGATGCTGGTTTTGTGGGAAATAAATTTACCTGGTGTGATAATAGGAATGGAGGTATCAGAATGAAGCAGAGGTTGGACAGAGCTCTGATTAATGCTTGCTGGAATCTGGAATTTGATAGTATGGAAGTGGTTCATTTAGCAAGGGGCTCTTCTGATCATAGCCCTTTATTATTGAAAATTATGGATGCTCCTATACAGAAAAGAATTTCCTATTTTAGATTTCAAGACATGTGGTGTGATCATGAGGGATTTCTTGATTTGATTAAAGCCAATTGGGGGGGGGACTATTCAAATAATCCAATGTCAAATTTGTTCATTAAGATGAAGTATTTGAAGGCTCATATGAAGATGTGGAATAAAAATGTGTTTGGCAATCTTTTTGACAAATTGAAAAATCTTGAACAAAAAATAAGTTTGGTGGAACAGGAGCTAGATCAAAATTTTTCTGATTCAAAAGCCATGGAATTAAAAGCTGTTAAAGATGAGATGGATGATTGGTTAAGAAGAGAGGAGACTTATTGGAAGCAAAAATCAAATATAAAATGGGCTATTCAGGGGGAGAGGAATAACAGATTTTATCATTCTATTGCTAAAAGTAGAGTGGTTAGAAATAAAGTTTCAAGAATTAAGAATAAAGAAGGAGTCTGGGTATATGGGGATAAGCAAGTGGCCGAGGTTGCTGAGGAATTTTATACTGATCTTTACAAGACTGAAAGGCATACCATCAATGACCAAATTGTTATTGATGTTATTCCTAAGCTCATTAGTCAAGAGGATAATGAGAGGTTTACAGCTGAAGCCACATTGGAAGAATTGAACGATGTTGTCTTTTCAATGGCAATTGAAAGTGCCCCTGGACCTGATGGTATGCCTGGTATGTTTTTTCAATTTGCCTGGGAAATTATTAAAGTGGATGTGGGCAGAGCTGTAAATTTTTTGCTAGCAGGAGGCTCAATGCCTAAGTCTGTGAATTCCACTTTATTAGTGTTGATTCCTAAGAAGGAAAATCCATGTTCATTTGCTGATTTCAGACCTATAAGCTTATGTAATTTCTTATATAAGATCTTTACAAAGCTTCTTAATACTAGACTGTCTTCTCTGCTTCCTGCTCTAATTTCTGAAGAACAACATGGTTTTGTTCAAGGGAGAGGCATTGGAGATTGTGTGGCCTTGGGACAGTTGCTTGTTGGTGAGTTAGACAGAAAGGTTGAAGGTGGGAACATGGTTATGAAGTTAGATATGATGAAAGCATATGACAGGATGGAATGGGATTTTTTGTTGAGGGTCCTGGCTAGCTTTGGCTTTTCTGATTTGTTCAATCAAATTATTTTGAATTGTTTGAGTAGTCAATTCTTTACCATATGTTTAAATGGTCAAAGATATGGTTATTTTGCTAATTCAAGGGGACTAAGGCAGGGGGATCCTCTCTCCCCCACCTTATCCATCTTGGCTGAGGAAGTGCTGAGTAGAGGTTTGAGAAGAATTTATAACCAGAATTTGGTGAAACATTTCCATATTGGGAGAGGAACAACAATTGTTAGCCACTTGTTATTTGCTGATGATACTCTGATCTTTTTAAGAGGCAATAAATTTTCTGTTCTAAATGTTTTGCAATTTATTGAGATGTATGAATCATGTTCTGGTCAGAAGGTTAACAAAATGAAAAGTGCTGTGTATTGTTCCAAGCTGATCTCTTTGTCCAGAAGAAATAGGCTGGCTTCTATGGTGGGGATTCCTTTTAAGGATTGTCCTTTTACCTATTTGGGTTGTCCTATTATCAGAGGAAGAATTAAGAAATGCTATTTTGAAGAGGTGGTGAACAGCTTCAGAAAAAGACTTGAGGGTTGGTACGCCAGACTTTTATCTGGAATGGGAAGAGTGGTATTTGTACAATCAGTACTCAGCTCAATTCCCATTCATATGTTGGCTTGCTTGAACATTCCAAAAGGTATTTTAAGTAAGTTGAATTCTCTTATTGCTGATTTTATTTGGTCTAATCAAATTGGTTCTAGGAGGAGACATTGGGTATCACTCAATGATATTTCTAAACCCAGAATAGAAGGTGGTTTGGGGATTAGAAGTTTTGATGAAGTTCAAATGGCATTCAGAATCAAACAGGTGTGGGGTATTTTAAAGGGTTCTTCTTTGTGGGCCAAAGTCTTTAAAGAGAATTTTTTTCAGGGGAAGCATATGCTAAGATGTAGTAGCAGTGGTGCAGGTTTATCCTTTAATGTATTGAAGCCTTGGTTCAATTTCACAGTACAGAATTCCTTGAAAGTTGTTAGAAATGATCATAACACTGATTTTTGGTGTGATTCATGGATGGAAACTGGCCCCTTGATTCTTAGAATGGAGAATCCTCCATTGATATTTCCCAAGATAAATGAATTATGGAATGGTGTGACATGGCAGCTCAATGAGGTTGCTGAATGGCTTAATCCTCAGTTATGTTCTGAAATTGAAAGTGTGGTTTTTGTTAGATCTGAGGAATCTGATAATCTTATTTGGAAGCATACTACTTCAGGTGAATTTACTGTTAAATCTGCTTGGAATCAGATTAGGAAAGTGGGGGACCACAATGATATTGCTAAAGACATATGGAAACAGAAAATTTTTCCTAGTGCTCAACTTTGCACTTGGTAAATTTTCAGAAAAGCATTGACCTCTGATGATAGAATTCAAGATGTGGGAGTGGCAATGGCCAGTAAATGTGTCATGTGTGGTGTGGCTGGGGAAAGTGCAGCTCATGTATTTATTGATTGCTCTTTAGCTCAAGCTGTCTGGAGCAAAGTTGCTGCAATTATGGAATTTGATGTTTTTTCAGGAGAGGCTCCTTTATGCAGATTCTTGAGACTGTTAAGAAGGTTTAAAGCTGCTTCTCTCAGTCATAATCTAATAAGAGGGGTAACTATGTTAATTTTTTGGGCTTTGTGGAAGGAGAGATGTAGGAGGAAATATGAGGGAGTATTTTTAAATGCCAATGCCATTTTCCAACAAATAGTGAGTTCTTTAAGATGGCAGGCTTTTCTTATCAGACCTAGATCAAATGATGATGGTAAGGGAAATGATTTGTTGAGAGATTTGAGTATTAAAAATCTTTTTTCCTTAATCACCTTGGTTAAATGGATTAAATGGGAACTTCCTCCTGCAAATGTGTTAAAGCTTAATGTTGATGGTGCTTCTAAGGGTAAGACTGGATTGTCAGGTGGTGGGATGGTATTGAGAGATCATGAAGGCAAAGTAATTGTTGCAGCTTCCTGTTTTTATGGTATTGGTTCAAATATGTTAGCTGAATGTATGGCATTATTTGATGGTTTACTTCTGATTATGCAATATAGCTTGTCAACATCTCAGATTATGGTGGAAACTGATTCTTATACTTTAGTTCAAATGGTGAGAGGATTAGCTGCTGTTCCATGGAAGATGCAATATCTGTTAGAAAGGATTAAGCTGTTGTTTAAGTTTCTAAATTTGCAAATCAAGCACATTTATAGGGAAGCTAATGGTCTGGCTGACTTCTTAGCTTCCTTTGCTGTTAAATCAGAACAGAGCACTGAATTTTCTGCAAATAATATTCTGCCATCTATTGGGAGGGTTATAATGCAACAAGATTTATATGGATTTCCCTCTACCAGATTGAAGAGATTGATATGTGAACAAAGAGAAGGTATTGGTTAAGCTTCTGTGTATACAGTATGAACTGCCTAGAAGCTGGAAAGTTGCAACAACTCTAGTAAATCTGTATTCAACTTGCTTCATTCTAAAAGGGCTTCTATTTTGGTTCTTCTGCTGGTCGGATCTGTGCTGATTCTAGCAATCCTCTGAGATAATTTATAAGAATCAAGAGCAGTTCTTCAGTATCTGTTGGTTGCTCCTTTTCCATTCTGCCTGGGCTATCTTCTGGACTTCTTTTGTGAGCTTTTGAGTGTGGATGATCAGGTTTTCTGATGTCATCCTGTTCCCTTTTGCGTTTCATCTTGAAATGTTAAGAAGGATGCTGCTTCAGTACAGTTTTATAGGTGATATTTGATGTTTGGTCTCCTGCATCTGGCCATTCAGAAAAGCTGGTTATTAATGATTAGTGCATGTATGGGAGCTGTATCTGGACTAGCTCTGGTAGAAGGGTATGGACAGCCTTTGACTGCTTGGCATTCTGTTGCCAATGAATGTTTTATTGCAGATTTGGATTTCTGAGGGGATGGTTCTTATTAATGTTTTTGGCAGACTGTTGGGCTTCAAGATGGGATTACTCTTCCAGCTTAGTCCTTTACCTGCCTTTTCTTTCTGCTCATAGCATGGTCTGGAGTATGAAGTTCTGTATGCTGGTTTTGGAGAGGATAATTGCCAGAAAAAGGAGACTACATATAGGGATCAAGTTACATAATTACTTTTTCACCCTTACATAGTTTTCCTTTGTAATTTGTTTTACAGCTACTGTTTTTTTTCTTTTAACAGTACTGCTTTGCTTCTTGTAATTTCTGCCTTTTCTCGAATAAAATTTCTGTTTCTTTAAAAAAAAAAAAAAGGGTTTAGGGTTTAGGGTTTTGGGTTTTGGGTTTAGGGTTTAGGGTCTAGGATTTAGGGTTTTGGGTTTTGGGTTTCGGGTTTTGGGTTTCGGGTCTAGGGTCTAGGGTTTTGGGTTTTAGGTTTTGGGGTTTAGGGTTTAGGGTTTCGGGTTTCGGGTTTCGGGTTTAGGGTTTAGGGTTTAGGGTTTTGGGTTTTGGGTTTGGGTTTTGGGTTTAGGGTTTAGGGTTTAGGGGTTAGGGGTTTCGGGTTTCGGGTTTAGGATTTTGGGTTTAGGGTTTTAGGGTTTAGGGTTTAGGGTTTAGGGTTTAGTGTTGATTCCTAAGAAGGAAAATCGATGTTCATTTGCTGATTTCAGACCTATTAGCTTATGTAATTTCTTATATAAGATCTTTACAAAGCTTCTTAATACTAGACTGTCTTCTCTGCTTCCTGCTCTAATTTTTGAAGAACAACATGGTTTTGTTAAAGGGAGAGGCATTGGAGATTGTGTGGCCATGGGACAGTTGCTTGTTGGTGAGTTAGACTGAAAGGTTGAAGGTGGGAACATGGTTATGAAGTTAGATATGATGAAAGCATATGACAGGATGGAATGAGATTTTTTGTTGAGGGTCCTGGCTAGCTTTGGCTTTTCTGATTTGTTCAATCAAATTATTTTGAACTGTTTGAGTAGTCAATTCTTTATCATATGTTTAAATGGTCAAAGATATGGTTATTTTGCTAATTCAAGGGGACTAAGGCAGGGGGATCCTCTCTCCCCCACCTTATTCATCTTGGCTGAGGAAGTGCTGAGTAGAGGATTGAGAAGAATTTATAACTAGAATTTGGGAAACATTTCCATATTGGGAGAGGAACAACAATAGTTAGCCACTTGTTATTTGCTGATGATACTCTGATCTTTTTAAGAGGCAGTAAATCTTCTGTTCTCAATGTTTTGCAATTTATTGAGATGTATGAATCATGTTCTGGTCAGAAGGTTAACAAAATGAAAAGTGTTGTGTATTGTTCCAAGCTGATCTCTTTATCAAGAAGAAATAGGCTGGCTTCTATGGTGGGGATTCCTTTTAAGGATTGTCCTTTTACCTACTTGGGTTGTCCTATTATCAGAGGAAGAATTAAGAAATGCTATTTTGAAGAGGTGGTGAACAGCTTCAGAAAAAGACTTGAGGGTTGGTACGCCAGACTTTTATCTGGAATGGGAAGAGTGGTATTAGTACAATCAGTACTCAGCTCAATTCCCATTCATATTTTGGCTTGCTTGAACATCCCAAAAGGTGTTTTAAGTAAGCTGAATTCTCTTATTGCTGATTTTATTTGGTCTAATCAAATTGGTTCTAGGAGGAGACATTGGGTGTCACTCAATGATATTTCTAAACCCAGAATAGAAGGTGGTTTGGGGATTAGAAGTTTTGATGAAGTTCAAATGGCATTCAGAATCAAACAGGTGTGGGGTATTTTAAAGGGTTCTTCTTTGTGGGCCAAAGTCTTTAAAGAGAAGTTTTTTCAGGGGAAGCATATGCTAAGATGTAGTAGCAGTGGTGCAGGTTTATCCTTTAATGTATTGAGGCCTTGGTTCAATTTCACAGTACAGAATTCCTTGAAAGTTGTTAGAAATGGTCACAACACTGATTTTTGGTGTGATTCATGGATGGAAACTGGCCCCTTGATTCTTAGAATGGAGAATCCTCCATTGATATTTCCCAAGATAAATGAATTATGGAATGGTGTGACATGGAAGCTCAATGAGGTTGCTGAATGGCTTAATTCTCAGTTATGTTCTGAAATTGAAAGTGTGGTTTTTGTGAGATCTGAGGAATCTGATAATCTTATTTGGAAGCATACTACTTCAGGTGAATTTACTGTTAAATCTGCTTGGAATCAGATTAGGAAAGTGGGGGACCACAATGATATTGCAAAAGGCATATGGAAACAAAATTTTTTTCCTAGTGCTCAACTTTGCACTTGGAAAATTTTCAGAAAAGCATTGACCTCTGATGATAGAATTCAAGATGTGGGAGTGGCAATGGCCAGTAAATGTGTCATGTGTGGTGTGGCTGGGGAAAGTGCAGCTCATGTATTTATTGATTGCTCTTTAGCTCAAGCTTTCTGGAGTAAAGTTGCTGCAATTATGGAATTTGATGTTTTTTCAGGAGAGGCTCCTTTATGCAGATTCTTGAGACTGTTAAGAAGGTTTAAAGCTGCTTCTCTCAATCATAATCTAATAAGAGGGGTAACTATGTTAATTTTTGGGCTTTGTGGAAGGAGAGATGTAGGAGGAAATATGAGGGAGTATTTTTAAATGCCAATGCCATTTTCCAACAAATAATGAGTTCTTTAAGATGGCAGGCTTTTCTTATCAGACCTAGATCAAATGATGATGGTAAGGGAAATGAGTTGTTGAGAGATTTGAGTATTAAAAATCCTTTTTCCTTAATCACCAAGGTTAAATGGATTAAATGGGAACTTCCTCCTACAAATGTGTTAAAGCTTAATGTTGATGGTGCTTCTAAGGGTAAGACTGGATTGTCAGGTGGTGGGATGGTATTGAGAGATCATGAAGGCAAATTAATTGTTGCAGCTTCCTGTTTTTATGGTATTGGTTCAAATATGTTAGCTGAATGTATGGTATTATTTGATGGTTTACTTCTGATTATGCAATATAGCCTGTCAACATCTCAGATTATGGTGGAAACTGATTCTTATACTTTAGTTCAAATGGTGAGAGGATTAGCTGCTGTGTTCCATGGAAGATGCAATACCTGTTAGAAAGGATTAAGCAGTTGTTTAAGTTTCTGAATTTGCAAATCAAACACATTTATAGGGAAGCTAATGGTCTGGCCGACTTCTTAGCTTCCTTTGCTGTTAAATCAGAACAGTGCACTGAATTTTCTGCAAATAATATTCTGCCATCTATTGGGAGGGTTATAATGCAACAAGATTTACATGGATTTCCCTCTGCCAGATTGAAGAGATTGATATGTGAACAAAGAGAAGGTATTGGTTAAGCTTCTGTGTATATAGTATGAACTGCCTAGAAGCTGGAAAGTTGCAGCAACTCTAGTAAATCTGTATTCAACTTACTTCATTCTAAAAGGGCTTCTATTTTGGTTCTTCTGCTGGTCGGATCTGTGCTGATTCTAGCAATCCTCTGAGATGATTTATAAGAATCAGGAGCAGTTCTTCAGTATCTGTTGGTTGCTCCTTTTCCATTATGCCTGGGCTATCTTCTGGACTTCTTTTGTGAGCTTTGAGTGTGGATGATCAGGTTTTCTGATGTCATCCTGTTCCCTTTTGCATTTCATCTTGAAATGTTAAGAAGGATGCTGCTTGTACAATTTTATAGGTGATATTTGATGTTTGGTCTCCTCTGCATCTGGCCATTCAGAAAAGCTGGTTATTAAAGATTAGTGCATGTATGAGAGTTGTATCTAGACTAGCTCTGGTAGAAGGGTCTGGACAGCCTTCTGACTGCTTGGCATTCTGTTACCAATGCTGCAGATTATTTCTGAGGGGATGGTTCTTATTAATGTTTTTGGCAGACTGTGGGGCTTCACTTTTCCAGCTTACTGCTTTGCTCCCAGCTGGATATTAATGCTAATGTAGACTGTCTTGGTTCTCTCCCTGGGCTGCAATTGTTGCTGCTGACTCTTCTGTGGTTCAGTGGCTGATTAAGGCATTTTCTTAGGAATGTTTCAGCTGGATGGAAAGAAGACATTACAAAAGGATTATGTTTTGAATTACCATTTTACCCTTGTATTGTTTTTGCTGTTATATGTTCAAAAGTCACTGTTTTTAGCTTTAAAATAATGAATTTTTGCTTCTTGTAATTTCTGCTTTTATTCAATAAATTTTTCTTTAAAAAAAAAAAAAAAAGGGTTTAGGGTTTTAAGGGTTGAGGGTTGAGGGTTGAGGGTTGAGGGTTGAGGTTGAGGGTTTAGGGTTTAGGGTTTAGGGTTTTGGGTTTGGGGTTTGGGGTTTGGGGGTTTTGGGTTTGGGGTTGGGGGTTTGGGGTTTGGGTTTTAGGGTTTAGGGTTTAGGGTTTAGGGGTTTAGGGTTTAGGGTTTAGGGTTTAGGTTTTAGGAGAAGGAGGCTTTAGAATTCTAGAGAGAGAAACTCTCACTTCTCTGTAAAAATTTTTCCATTGATTTTCTGATTTTAATTCACTTTCTTGATTCCTGTGTCAGATCTAGTTTTTTTTGATAATTCTTTGGTTTTACTACATGGAATCGGGTACAATCCAGCATCCAATTCCCCCAAAACCCCCCGATATCAAGAAAACTTTGCTTCTCTTTTCAAGAAACCCTCGGTCTCCGTGAACATTGGGAACATGGAGTCTTCTCGTTTTGATAAAAATTCTAGAGAAAACCTTTTGTCTTCAGCATGTTGCGTGGGTAATCGGTCTTCTGTACCTCCGTCTTTACCTCTGGTATCTCAATCGACTCTTTTTCCTCAAATTTCTCAAGAACCCGGTGTTTCTCACAGATCATCAAACCCACCGATTTCTCAATCTTTTTCTCTTCCTCAAATAAACTTTTTCGGCCAAGATTCATAGGGATTCAATATCCTTTCTCGATTCAGAACTCTCTGGTTCCTCAAACTTCTTCAGATCCTCATCTCTCTGTTTCACGACAATCTTCGATCGCGAATGTTCCTTCGGCTGATTCTGGTAACTCATCTCTGGGGAATGGTTTGTTAACTTCGGCTGGGATTCCCAAACCAGCGAAGAGGGTTGTTTACAACAATGGTGAACCCGGAATGTATTGGACTTCTGACGAAACCTTAGAGTTGTCTAAGGGTTTCAGTCAAACTCTAATTGGGAAATGCGCATATGCAAACCTTCACTGGGGGTGATTAGAGAGTTTATTGCTACAAAGTGGCTTCCCAAGGGTGAATTCTCAATAGGTATTTTAGATCCTAGACACATACTCATTTGTTTTAGTCTTCTGGAGGACTATGTGAAGACATGGCTGAAAGATGCTACGTATATAGAAGGTTTTTTGTTCAGATTCTTTAAATGGTTCCCGGAATTTCTTCCAGGAATTGAACCTCCAATTGTTCCAATGTGGGTATCGTTGCCTGGGCTTCCTGTTCATCTCTTTAATAGAGAGAGTCTTCGAGATATTTTGAGTCCAATTGGGAAAATATTGGTGTTTGATAATTCGACTCTGCAGCTAACTAGGCCAGGAGTGGCGAGGGTGTGTGTTGAAGTTAACTTGTTGGAGCCTAATCCTAGAAGATTCTGGCTTGATATGGGGGGGAATAGTGGTAGATGGCAAAGAATAGTATACGAGAAGGATTGTAGGTATTGTGCTGCTTGTCTAAAATAGGGGCATGATGGAAATACTTGTTGGAAGAAGAGGATTGTAAAAGGGGATGAGGAGAAAGGGAGTGGGCAGAATGTGGAGGTAAACCTGCAAAAAGAGGTCAACATTCAGAATGGAGTGGATCATGTGGTGACTAATATTGCTGATAAAGGGAAAGGAATTGTACAAATTATGCCAGGAGGAAATCAAAAACAAGTTTATAAAAGAAAGGAGGTTGTTCATAAGCCAGAGAATGGAAATAGATTTAGTGCTCTGGTTTTGATGAACAGAGTCATGTTGTGGAAAATGGAGAACATTTGATTGAGCTAGCTGTACGAACTGGGGAAAAAAGTTGTTCGCATGAAGTAGAAGAGGAAACCTCAGTTGTTTCTGGTAGAGGTAATGTGGAAATTGAAGAGGTGGATAAATTGAATGATCAGATTCCAGCAATGAATGTTGCTATTGAAGTTGATCAAGGTTCTAAAATGTAGATGAGAATGTCAAAATCAGGGGAGGATACAGTAAATGCTTCTTTAGTTGTGAGGGGGGGGTGCAAGAGTCTGACTCTTGTGAGGAGATTAGAGAGCCAGATTTACCTGAATGTCAGGGGGTAGAAGGAGAGGTATCAGTTACGATAATGGGGAAGGGGAGTAGGGATGATTGTGTATTGTTAGTTGAAAGAGAAATCTCTTTTCATGTAAACGAGAAGTCTTCTTCTTTTACTGGAAATGAGGGAGGAAAAAGTGGGAAGATGAGAGAAAAGGAGATAGGGGAGGGAATAGGTGAGATCGTGTGTTGTTTAAACAAGCAAGCATCTCTATCCTCAGATTCTTCTTTTTTTGTGGATAGACATTATGATGTTAGACAGTTGCTGCAAGTATCTTAGGATGATAATGATGGTTTGGTAAAAGGTAAAGAGCTACTTGAGAAAGGTTTTTTATCTGATCAAGATAGTTCGAAGACTTGGGCGGACTTATCGGAAAGATTTTCTGATGATGATGAGGTCCATGATTTGGAATTAAGGCAGAGTCCTGAGGTTAATCCTGAACACATGTCTTTGTTATGAATTTTATAATGTGGAATGTGAGAGGGGCAGGAAATAAAAGTATGAGAACCAGACTAAAAATGCTTGTTGTGATGAATAATGTTGGTCTTTTGGCTGTGCTAGAACCAAAGATGTTGTCAGTAAGGATGAGATCTTTTTCTGTTTCAGTGGGTTTGCGTTTCTTTGTTGCAAATACTAAAGCTGAGAAGAACATATGGTTGTTTTGGAAGGAGGGTGTGGATGTACAAGTGATTATGGAGCATGAGCAGGCTCTTACTGTTTCGGTTAGGTTCTTAGATTCAGACCCATTTATTTTGACAGTTGTGTATGCTTGTTGCAATTATTTGTTGAGGAGACCTTTATGGCAACACATACAAGTGATTTCTTCTTCCTTCTCTTTGCCTTGGTTACTAATGGGAGATTTTAACACGGTATTGAATTCTGCGGAGAGATTGGGGGGTGCTTATCCTTCTGTTGTTGCGATGGAGGAGTTTGGTGAATGTATACAATCGGCTGGGCTGGTGGATTGTGGTTTTGAGGGTAGTAGCTACACTTGGTGTAACAATCATCATGGGGGAACAAAAATGTGGCAGCGTTTGGATAGGGTTTTTTTTAAATCCTGTATGGTCTGCTAGGTTTGATAACTCTCATGTGGTACATTTAGCAAGAGGAAGCTCAAATCATTGTCCTTTATTGGTTAAGATCATGGAAAAAGAAGGGCATCATAGAATTTCTTATTTTAAATTTTTGGATATGTGGACTGAGGAAGTCTCCTTTTTGCCTCTAGTTGTGGATGCGTGGCGTGGATGTTTTTCTAGTAATCCTATTGAGGATTTCTTTCTAAAGCTAAAATTTCTTAAAGTTCGTTTGAGGAGTTGGAATAAAGAAGTTTTTGGGAATATTTTTGAAAAAATTAAGTTGCAGGAGTTGGAAGTGTGTAATGTTGAAAGAACACTAGAGGCAGATTTTTCAAAGAGCAGTCTTTTGACATTGGAGAAAGCAAGAAAGAGTTTGGATGATACTTTGCGGTTGGAAGAAATGTTTTGGAAACAAAAAGCAAATGTAAAGTGGGCTTTAGAAGGAGAAAGGAATACAAAATTTTATCATGCTATAGCTAAAGGGAAGGCAGTCAGAAATAGCATAAAAAGAATTAAATGTGAGAATGAGAGCTGGGTTAGTTCTGAAGACGAGATTGCTGATCAAGTAGTGAATTTTTTTGCATCCTTATATAAAACTGAGGATCATGTGTTGGACGATGTATTGTTTGAGGAAATTCCGTTTCTTGTGAGTGAATCAAATAATGAATCGCTTACTTGTCTTGCTTCCATGGCAGAACTGAAGAATGTGGTGTTTTCAATGGCAGTGGAAAGTGCACCAGGTGCAGATGGGTTTTCTGGGAAGTTTTTTCAAGTTGCTTGGGATGTGATTAAGGCAGACTTGTTAAAAGCTGCAAATTTTTTTCTAGAAGGTGGAGTAGTGCCAAGGTCGGTGAATGCCACTTTGTTGGCATTGATTCCAAAGAAATTAAATCCAACAAGCTTTGCAGAGTTTAGACCTATTAGTTTATGCAACTTTTTGTATAAAATTTTTACAAAGTTGCTTGCTAATAGGTTAGCTGTTTTATTGCCTTCTTTGGTATCGAATGCTCAGCATGGTTTTGTGAAAGGGCGCAGTATAGGGGAATGTATTTCACTAGCTCAGTATATGGTCTCTGAACTGGATATAAAAGTGGAGGCAGGGAATATAATAGTTAAGCTTGATATGATGAAGGCGTACGATCGTATTGAGTGGGATTTTCTAAAGAAGACTTTGAGATGTTTTGGTTTTTCTGATCTTTTTGTGTCCATTATTGGAAATTGCTTGAATAATCAATTCATTTCAGTATGCTTAAATGGTCAGAGAAAAGGTTTTTTCCCTACATCACGGGGGTTGAGGCAAGGGGATCCAATATCCCCGTTGCTTTTTATTTTGCAGAGGAAGTCTTGAGTAGGGTGCTGTTGAAGTTGTTTTATGAGAGGAAGATTAAGCCTTTTCATACTGGGAGAGGGGCTATAATGGTGTCTCATTTGCTGTTTGCTGACAATACTTTGCTTTTCTTGAAAGGAAATAAAATCTCGATGGAGGTTTTATTTTCCTTTTTAAGTAAGTATGAAGCAAGTTCGGGGCAGAGGATTAGCAGGCCGAAAAGTTCTATTTTCTGTTCTGCAAAGATTTCACAGGGAAGAAAAATGATTTTATCACGAGTTGCTCAGATTCCTATAAAAGAATGTCCTTTCACGTACTTGGGTTGTCCCATGATTAAGGGGAGGAGTAGAATTAGAGATTTTGAAGATTTGGTTCTAAAATTTAAAGCCAAGCTGGAAGGATGGTATGCCAAATTGCTATCTAATATGGGACGAGTAGTTTTGGTACATAATGTTTTAAATGCGGTACCAGTGCATCTAATGTCTTGTTT